CTGGTATGGGGAAGCCGTGCGGCAAGGCCAGGTAACGGGCTTGGGTGATGACGCAGTTATCAGACGCGGAAAGATGCATGTGTCCGTTTAACCCTCTGTGAGGCAGCAGGCCTTACAATATGTAGTTCAGTTTCTTTCTTTTTTTAGTTTTAGAGTAGTTCAGTTTCTTTACTGGATGTAGTGCTATTCAGATAATCAACTTCATGATGGGTGAGTTTTGGTAGTTTGTGCAGTTTTTTAAATTTTTATTTTTTTTGAGACAGAGTCTGACTCTGTTACCCAGACTGGAGTGCAGTGGTGCGATCTCAGCTCACTGCAACCTCTGCCTCCTGGGTTCAAGTGATACTCCTGCCTCAGCCTCCCGAGTAGCTGGGATTACAAGTGTTCTCCGCCATGCCTGGCTAATTTTTTGTAGTTTTAGTAAAGGTGGGGTTTCACTGTCTTAGCCAGGAAGGTCTGGGTCTCCTGACCTCGTGATCCACCTGCCTCTGCCTGCCAAAGTGCTTGGGATTACAGGCGTCAGCCACCATGCCTGGCCTAGTTTGTGATTTTTAAGAAATTAGTCAATTTCTTCCAAGCTGTTGAATTTATTAGTGTAAAGTTGTTAGCAGAGCTCCTTTGTTATTTTTTATGTCAACAAGTTGTGTAATAAAATAGTTATTTCTTTTTTTTTTTTTTTTTTTGAGACGGAGTTTCGCTCTTGTTACCCAGGCTGGAGTGCAATGGCGCGATCTCGGCTCACCGCAACCTCCGCCTCCTGGGTTCAGGCAATTCTCCTGCCTCAGCCTCCTGAGTAGCTGGGATTACAGGCACGCGCCACCACACCCAGCTAGTTTTTTGTATTTTCGTAGAGACGGGGTTTCACCATGTTGACCAGGATGGTCTCGATCTCTCGACCTCGTGATCCACCCGCCTCGCCTCCCAAAGTGCTGGGATTACAGGCTTGAGCCACCGCGCCCGCCCTATTTCATTTTTTAATACTGGTGATTTGTGTCGTTTTGTCAATGTTGCTATAGGTTAATTGTTTCATTAATTTTTTTCAGAATGAGGTTTTTAGTTGTCCTATTTTTTTTTTTTTTTTGAGACGGAGTTTCGCTCTTGTTACCCAGGCTGGAGTGCAATGGCGCCATCTCGGCTCACCGCAACCTCCGCCTCCCGGGTTCAGGCAATTCTCCTGCCTCAGCCTCCTGAGTAGCTGGAATTACAGGCACGCGCCACCATGTCCAGCTAATTTTTGTATTTTTAGTAGAGATGGGGTTTCATCATTTTGACCAGATAGTCTCGATCTCTTGACCTCACGATCCACCCACCTTGGCCTCCCAAAGTGCTGGGATTACAGGTGTGAGCCACCGTGCCCGGCCATTGTATTTCTTTTTATCTTAGCAGTGACTGCTTCAATAGCTACATTCTTTCCGCTGGGCACATTTAGAGATGTAGTTTTTACCAAGTTCCGTGTTTCCTGCTTTTGTTTGTTCTTTTGACAGAGTCTCATTCTGTTGCCAGGCTGGAATGCATTGACACAACCTCCGCCTCCTGGGTTCAAGCGATTCTCCTGTCTCAACCTCCTGAGTAGCTGGGACTACAGGCACATGCCACCACACCCAGCTAATTTTCTTATTTTTTCTCTTTTTTTGAGGTGGAGTCTTGCTCTGTAGCCCAGGCTGGAGTGCAGTGGTGCAATTTCGGCTCACTGCAACCTCCATGTCCCAGGTCCCAGTTCAAGCGACTCTCCTGCCTCAGCTTCCCGAGTAGCTAGGATTACAGGCACATGCCACCATGCCCAGCTAATATTTTTGTATTTTTAGTAGAGATGCGGTTTCATCATGTTGGCCAGGCTGGTTTGAACTCCTGACCTCGTGATGCACCCACCTCAGCCTCCCAAAGTGCTGAGATTAGAGGTGTGAGCCACTGTGCCAAGCGATTTTTGTATTTTTAGTAGAGTCAGGGTTTCACCATGTTTGCCAGGCTGGTCTTGATCTCCTGACCTTGTGATCTTCCTGCCTTGGCCTCCCAAAGTGCTCAGATTACAGGCATGAGACACCGTGCCTGGCCCCTGGTTTATTTAATGTTCGCATTCTGATAAGATGTTAAATTACCTGGATACAATGAATAATAATTGTATTCTAAGTTGCAAAGTTCCCATAAGAAAAATAATTATTAGATAGCATCACCAAATTCACAGATTTGGCCGCAAAATAAATCTACTTACTAAGTAATTTAAATTAATACGGTGATGGAGCGTGTGGTGTTGGAAGGAACTTGTTGAAGAAAAGCAGGGTTTCACTCTGTCACCCAGGTTGGAGTGCAGTGGCCCCATCATGGCTCACTGTAGCCTGAAATTCCTAGGCTCAAGTGATCCTCCTGCCTCAGCCTCCCATGTAACTGGAATGACGGTTACTCACCATCATGGTGATGTTTTTATTTTTGAGATAGAGTTCTGCTCTTGTTGCCCAGGGTGGAGTGCAATGGCACGATCTTGGCTCAGCACAACCTCTGCCTCCCAGTACAAGTGATTGTCCTGTGTCAGCCTCCCAAGTAGATGGGATTGCAGGTCTGTGCCAGCACACCTGGCTAATTTTTTTGTATTTAGTAGAGATGGGGTTTCAGCGTGTTAGGCTGGTTGAGAACTCCTAACCTCAGGTTGTTCACCCACCTTGGTCTCCCAAAGTGCTGGGATTCACAGGCATGTGCCACCACACCCAGCCCATCATGGCTAATTAAAAAAAAAAAAATTTTTTTTTTTTGTAGGGATGAGTCTTGCTATGTTGTGGAACCCCTGGGCTTAAGTGATCCTTCCAACTTGGCCTCCCAAAACACTGAGATTACAGGTGTGAGACACCACCCCAGTCAAAAGCTTACCTTGGATATAACTGACTTGAATTTCATTCTTGTGAGTTAATGATGGTATTTTATATTGTCTACTTCTAAGCTGCAGACAGCCATCATGAGGAGAATAAGATTTTCTCAGGCAATGAGTGAGAATGGCCTTTCCCTTCAATATATGTCAAAATAAAGGGGGCCACGGGAGAATCCTGGTGGTGGAATCCATTTTATTCTCATACGTAGGTTATTACAGCACAATTATGAAGAAACAGTCACAGGCAACTCACAATGCTACATTCAAATTATGCCAAGGTCACTCCATATTCATTTTGTCTGCTAGTTAATTTCTAAAAGAGCAGAGCAGAGCAACACACACGTTTATTAACACAGACGACAATGTGAATGAAGCCTCCTGGAGTTGTCCAAAATAGAAAACATATATAAAGATCTTCAAAATGCAGGTTGAAATGCAAATCCAAGTGAAAGGAAAAAACACTGCAGTGAAGTCCAGTGACAATTATTTCCCTTCAAATGAGGTTTGTGTGCCAGCTGGAGGGAATGACTGTTTGACAGAAGATGAAGGCAAAATTCCTACAGGCAAAATTCAGAAAATGATAGAGGATGCTGGCCTCTGCTCTGGGCCTCTTCGGTGGGTCTAATTCAATTTAATTAATTAGCACCATTAAGACTGTAATTGAAGCAACTCTGGTTTGATCTTAGAAAAGCTGACTTTCTTTCTGGCATAGTATTTGTGGTGAGAACTATGCCAGATGGGAAAGGTGGTATGGAGCCTTTGATGAAGTCTCTACAGTAATCCTAACTAGTGAAGTGTAAAGACGTGCCCACAGGTTACAGATTACATGAATTATACACAATGAATAACAGCAGATGATGGGACAGGGATATTTTAATTGTACAGTGTAACACTGTAGAGTGCTGGGAAATATGGTACAACATTCCCTTCTTTCTTCACTCAGTAACTGATTATCTTGTTTCTTGTCCATGCATATTGAAATTGAATAACAAAACATTTTGAAGGGTGTTTGGCTAACCCAGAGGTAGTAAAAGACCTCAGAAGTGTTTTGGTTTCTATTACTGAAGAGGGGCTTAGTAATAACTGCAAGTCCATGTATATATGCAGCAGATGGGAACAATCTCCAGAGCCATTGACATATGCAGCAGAAAAGCACAAAGAACTTTGTATTTGTTATAATTTCTACTGCATTGTTGAAGATACAGATAGAAAATACTGGTATTTAGTGTGGGGAATCTTGAGACATGTCAGCCTATGTCCTATGAGGCACTTGTACCAAAAATGATTATCACAATTTTATTAAATGCTCATCATTTAACAGATGGCACAGAAAAAAAATGGCACATTCAAAAGATCAACTCAAGAATAGTTAATAAAGGCACTATTTACAAACGTGTTCACAATGAACGAAGCCCACCCACTGGGCTGAGGAAGCACCAGTAGTAGTTAAGTCTGAGGATCATGGAGAGGGAATGGGGCCAGCGGAAACAGAGAGCTCTACCACCACAGATGGGGGCTTCCCAAAGGGAGCTGTATCCTTACAGGAACACAGAAACTGCCTAATCCACAGTCCAGGCAGGAGGAGGGGAAAGGTCATCAATAATCTTTTTTCTCCTCTCACCTGATGTCTTTCTGGTATCTCCCATTGTTAAAACCTATGAAGAAACCCCAGTGAAGCGGTCTCTAGCAGACAGCCTCTGGGGTGCAGAGCATAAAATGGGAGAAAAGGGATCTGAAGAAATCGGGAATACGCAGCACACATGCAGATCCACAGTACATACAATGTCTGTCAAGTATCTGCTACAAATTCAGGTTACCCTGAGCCCGGAAGGAATAGGCTTCTGACTCAGATGATGCAGTCTACTGAATTATATTTAAAAATTCACATAGGCTGGGTGTGGTGGCTCATGCCTGTAATCCCAGCACTATGGGAGGCCAAGGCAGGCAGATCACCTGAGGTCGGGAGTTCAAGACTAGCCTGACCAACATGGAGAAACCTCATTTCTACTAAAAATACAAAAATTAGCTGGGTGTGGTGGCACATGCGTGTAATCCCGGCTACTCAGGAGGCTGAGGCAAAAGAATTGCTTGAACCCAGGAGGCCGAGGTTGTGGTGAGCCGAGATCGCGCCATTGCACTCCAGCCTGGGCAACAAGAGTGAAACTCCATCTCAAAAAAAATGATAACAATAATCACATGTTATTGTCATCACCCTTCTAATTATATCATAAACTCCAAATATGTTATCATTACTTTGGCTTTAAGCAGCCAATTCCCTTTTTAAAAGATTTTAAAAAGAGAAAAGTATCTTGTATATTTACCCACACATTCACCATTTTCAGAACTTCATTCTTTTGTACAGACCCAAATTTAAGCTTTGCATTATTTTCCTGCTGCCCTCAAACTTCCTTTAAAGTTTCCTGAAGACAGGTCTACAGGTGATACAATTACCTTTGATTTGGTTTGTCTGAAATAGTCTTTATTTTGCCTTCATTTTTGAAAACATTTTTGGATGAAAATAGAATTATAGGTGGCAGGGTTTGTTGTTTATTTCATTAAGTGATTTAGAGATAATACTCCATTGTCTTACAGCTCACATAGTTCTCACCAGAAGTATGCTGCCATCCTTTGTTCAGGTGTATGTATTATCTTTTTTTCTCAAGGTGCTTTAAAATTATTGTTTATAAGTGCTTCTTCTGAGGCGCACTGCTATGATATAAATTATGTTTATTGTGCTTCAGGTCATTTGAGCTTCTTGAGTATGTGGGGATATTGTTTTCATCAGATTGGGAAAATTTTTAGCCATTGTTTATTCAAATACTTCTTCATGCCTCTTCATTTCCTCCTCCCCTTCTGGGACTCCAGTTACACATACATTACACCAGTGTAACTGTTTTCCTATTATAGGTCTTTTTTTTTTCTCTGTTTATCATTTTGACAGTTTTTATTCTTACTCTTCAAGTTCATTGATTTCTTTTTTCCTTCTTCTGTATTTAATCTCTCCACATGGGATTTTAACAGAATCAGAAGTTGTCTTCATCTCTGTAAGTTCCATTTGGGACATTAAACATATCTCTTTTTACCTCAGGTTTCATCAACCTTATGTTTTCCTCTATTTTATATTTATAATAGCTATTTTAATATCCTCATCTACTAATCCCATCACCTCTGTCTTTTCTGGGTTTCAGTTGATTTTTCTCCAGGTTATAAGTCATATTTTCTTGCTTCTTTGTATGCCAGATGTTTCTTAGATGCCAGACATTATGGGTCCAGAGTAGCTTTTAATCTAGAGCTAATTAGTCTCACTACTAAAACAAAACCCTTCTGAGAATGCTACCTGATGCTCCATGTGTTAGAATTTGTTTTCACAATGGCTGCCGAGAACATGAGTTCCAGGAATTGTTCAGACTACTGCTTTCTAGTGCTGCTTTTCCTGGCCTCACTCGAAGTCAGTACTAAGCCAAAGGACTCCGGGAAATCCCAGCAGACTTCCGGAGCCCTGCTTTCGGGAAGATCCCATCTCTCCGGTACTTTCCCTTGCAAATTCTAGCTGCTGTGGCCTCCCCAACTGCCAATCCTGTCTCTTCAGTTCAGCAACCTTACTGTTTCCCTTCCCTGAAGTGCAACCTAGTAACTGCCACTAGGGAGTTGGCTAAGAAACCATGGTGCTCACCTCACTCTGTCTACACTCTCCTGGGGATCATGAATCTGTGCTTGTCAAAGGTCTAAAAACCATTATATATTAATTATATAGCTTCTAGTTGTTTAAGGCAAGAGAGGTAATCCGATCCTTGTTACTCCATCACAGCAGAAAGCAGAAGTCCTCACACCTAAGTCAATACAACTAACAATTAAAATTGACTGCTTTTTATAATAATTTATACATAAAGAACACCACTTCCTTACAGAACTATTTCAACAGCATCATGCTTGTCAAATTCTTTAAATTATTATGACTACTCTTCAGTATGAACCTCTAAAATAAAATTCAGTATTCCCTTTCTGTAGGCATTCTCAAGTGTACAATGAGTTTTTCTTTCTTGAAATCTTTCATTTGCTTGTTAAAACAACAAGATTTCCTTCCTGGTTAGGTCTTCTAAACATTAATAAGCTGACTTTTGACTAAAAGCTTCTGTACTATCACAATACTAATAAGGTTTTCACCTCAACGAGGCATCCAGTATGTAACGAGTAGTGTCTTCTGAGAGACAATTTTTTTACATTGTTTACTTTTTAAAAACTTCTCTCCTTTCTAAATTCTGCTTAGTGACTCGACTCCTCAATTAAAGCTTTTCAACAGTCAGTGCCTCAATAGGGTTTCTCTCCTATATGCATCCTCAAAAGAGTTAGAAAGTGTAACAACTGATAACAATCTTTCTCCATTCACCAAACTCATGATTTTTATATTATATGATTTCTCTGATGTATCATAAGCTGTGACTTCCTGTTGAAGGTGGTCCCACATTCATTGCATCCATAGTATGTATCTCCTGTATGAATTCTCTGATGCCTCATAAGGTGTGACTTTCTAGTGAAAGACTTCCCACATTCACCACATTTATATGGTCTCTCCCCCGTATGAATTCTCTGATGTATAATAAGCTGTGCCTTCTCAAAGAAAGCTTTTGCACAATCACCGCATCCATAGGTTTTCTCTCCTGTATGATTTCTTTGATGCTTAATGAGCTGCACTTTCTGAACAAATGCTTTCCCACATTCACTGCATTCATAGGGTTTCTCTCCTGTATGAATTCTCTGATGTCTAAGAAGTTGTGGCTTCCAGGCAAAAGCTTTCCTGCATTCACTACATTCAAAGGGTTTTTCTCCAGTATGGGTTCTCTGATGATGAATGAGACTTGACTTCTCACTGAAGGTTTTTCTGCATTCGCTGCATTCATAGGGTTTCTCACCTGTATGTGTTCTCTGATGTGATATCAGGCTTGACTTCTGGGTGAAGGCTTTCCCACATTCACCGCATTCATAAGGCTTCTCCCCAGTATGTGTTCTGTGATGTGTTAGGAGCTGGGACTTCCCAAAGAAGGTTTTCCCACATTGAATACATCCATATGGTTTCTCTCCTAAGTGAATTTTTTGATGTCTTATTAACTCTGACTTCTTAAAGAAGGCTTCTACACAATCACTACATCGATAGTTCTTCACTCCTGTGTGAGTTATCTGATGTTTAATAAGCTGTGGTTTTCTGACAAAGGCTTCACCACATTCATTGCATTCATAGGGTTTCTCTCCTGTATGAATCCTCTGATGCCTAATGAGAAGTGAGTTCCTGCTGAAGGCTTTTTTACACTCACTACATGCATAAGGTTTCTTCCCTGTATGGGTCCTCTGATGAGTAATAAGCTGCGACTTCCAAAAGAAGGCTTTGCCACAGTCACTACATTTATAGGGTTTCTCTCCTGTATGCGTTCTCTGATGTGTAATGAGTTTTAATTTCTGGGAGAAAGCTTTCCCACAGTCACTGCAACTGTAGGGTTTCTCTATTGTGTGAGTTATCTGATGCCTTTTAAGCTGTGATTTCCTACTGAAGGCTTTTCCACATTCACTGCATCCATAGGGTTTCTCCCCAGTATGAATTCTCTGATGTAAAATGAGCAGTGACTTCCTACTAAAAGCTTTTTGACATTCACTGCATCCATATGGTTTTTCTCCCGAATGAGTTCTTTGATGAATAGTAAGCAGTGACTTCTGCGAGAAGGCTTTTCCACATTCACTGCACTGATAGGGTTTCTCTCCTGTATGAGTTCTCTGGTGGATAATAAGTTGTGACTTCTTGTTAAAAAATCTACCACATTCCATGCATAAATAGACTCCAGTATGTGTTATATGATTTGCAATGAGCCATGACTCTTTACTGCTGGTTTTTATACATCTATTGCAATCACAGTGTTTTATTCCACCATGGGTTCTGTCAGGTTTGATACAGAATAATAATTTCTTATTGAGCTCATCAATTTTCTTTCTTTCACAGTTATTTTTGGAAATAAGCAAATCAAAAGGATGTTTCAGGTTTTTTTCTTCTGTGCCACATGTATGGGATGTCATTCCTAAATGAACAAAGTTTATGCTTGACTTAAATATTTTTCCAAAAACACCATACTTATGGCCTCTCTCCATACTTTTAAGGTTGTCGTGATTATCTTGGAGCCACATTTTGGTATTATCTAGCCAGACTTCTAAAAAGAGAAAAAATGAACCATACTGTGTAATTCCTTCAATTATTGTGCTTACTGCATAAAGCTTCTGAAATGGCACTATAATCCCAGTTTAAAAAAATTTCCTCAAATGTGTACTCACTGGGCATTGACAATTTTAACAGAAAAGAAAATGAATTTTTAAATTACAAATGTCTCAGCACATGAACTTTTAAATAAGAAATACTAAAGATACTCAAGGAACAGTGATTATTTAACTTCTTCACATTCATCCCCCTTTAATTGGATCTATAATTGAATCTATAAAGTATATATTGTATCTATATGTAATGCTATCATTGGAAATTACTCCTAATCACAATAATTTTTTGTGTAATAGGACAGATTTTTTTTTAATCCAATGAGTACAACTGTTTGTGATTTCTACAAGAGTATTTATTGAATATTTAAAAGTTTATTTACTTTACTTTTGGGTGATATTCTTTATTAGCAATTGTGGGGTAATATTCTCAGGAAGTATGTGCTAGATGAAAAGATCTGGCGTGGTCTCAAATATAAAACAAGGCTGAGCCTGGTGGCAACTCACACCTACAATCCCAGCAGTTTGGGAAGCTGAGGTGGGAGGACTGCTTGAGCCCAGGAGTTCAAGACCAGCCAGGCAACATAAGGAGAACCTATCTCTACAAAATCTTTTTTTCTAAAATTAGCCACATGTGGTGGTGCACACCTAAAGTCCCAGCTACTTAAGAAGCAGAGACAGTGGATCACTGGAGTCTGAGAGGTCAAGGCTGCAGTGAGATGTGACTGCATCACTGCACTCCAGCCTAGGAGACAGAGTAAGGCACAGGCTCAAAAAATAAAAAGTAAAAAGGCCGGGTGCGGTGGCTCAAGCCTGTAATCCCAGCACTTTGGGAGGCCGAGGCGGGTGGATCACGAGGTCAAGAGATCGAGACCATCCTGGTCAACATGGTGAAACCCCGTCTCTACTAAAAAAACACAAAAAATTAGCTGGGCATGGTGGCACATGCCTGTAATCCCAGCTACTTAGGAGGCTGAGGCAGGAGAATTGCCTGAACCCAGGAGGCAGAGGTTGCGGTGAACCGAGATGGCACCATTGCACTCCAGCCTGGGTAACAAGAGTGAAACTCCGTGTCACCAAAAAAAAAAAAAAAAAAAAGTTAAAAAAAAATCTACTCTTTTCTAAGGAGGAAAATGCCTCATCCAATTCTCAGACATCAGAATTTCAGATGAAGCAGGCTGGTTGCAGTGACTAATCCCTATAACCCCAGCACTTTGGGAGGCTGAGGTGGGTGGATCACTCGACCCCAGGAGTTCAAGACCAGCCTGGCCAACATGGTGAAACCCCATCTCTACCAAAATACAAAAATTAGCTTAGTGTGGTGGTGCACGCCTGTAATCCCAGCTACTTGGAAGGCTGAGGTTGAGGAGCTCACTTGAGCCCAGGAGGCAGAGGGTGTGGTTATGTGAGCTGAGAGTGCATCACTGCACTCCAGCCTGGGTGACTGAGTGAGATCCCATATCAAAAAGAAAATAGAGGCTGGGTACAGTGGCTAATGTCTGTAATCCTAGCAGTTTGGAAGGCTGAGGTGGGTGGGTTGCCTAAGCTCAGGAATTCAAGACCAGCCTGGGCGACATGGTGAAACCACATCTCTACTGAAATACAAAAAAACTAGCCAGTGTGGTGGTGGGTGCCTGTGGTCCCAGCTACTTGGGAGGCTGAGATAGAACTGCTTGAACCTGGGATGCAGAAGTTGCAGTGAGCCAAGATCAAGATCGTGCCACTGCACTCCAGCCTGGGAAGCAGACCAAGACTCTAGCTCAAAAAAATTTTTTTTCAGAGAAAGCTCAGACTGCTGATACGGAAAATTAAAGCAAGACTCAGTGTTTTGAGCATAAACAAAGATGACAATACTGTTCATTGAGATGAAAAAGACTATGCAAAGAAGTTTGGAGATCAAAAGCAAGAGTCATATGTAGACAAGTGTGAGATCCACTTGATAAGTTTACAGAAAATTATTTTATAAGATATGGGAACAAAAAAAAGCAGTAATTTTAAATGAAAAAATCACATCAAGATGAGATTTAAAATATGTCTATCCAGGCTGGGCATGATGGTTCATGCCTGTAATCCCAGCACTTTTGGGAGGCCGACACAGAAAGATCACAAGGTCAGGAGATCAAGGCCATCCTGGCCAACCTGGTGAAACCCTGTCTCTAATAAAAGTATAGAAATTAGCTGGGTGTGGTGGTGCGCGCCTGTAGTCCCAGCTACTCGGGAGGCTGAGGCAGGAGAATTGCTTGAACCCGGGAGGTGGAGGCTGCAGTGAACCAAGATCCTGCCACTGCACTCCAGCCTGGGTGACTGAGTGAGTCACCATCCCCCCCCCCAAAAAAGGAAAAAATATGTCTATCTAAATTAATGAATTAAATGATAAACAATAATAAATAGCATTGTGTAGACTTAACTGTAATATTTTACTACTTCTAATAAACTGCTACTAGAGACAGGCAGGATATCACTGTGTTGCCCAAGAAGTGCAGAGGTGAGGTGATACTTCACCGCAGATGCAAACTCCCAGGCTCAAGTGATCCTTCTGCCTTAGACATGCAAGTGGCTGAGACTGCAGCTGTGTGCCACCATGCCTGGTTAATCTTTAATTTTTTTTTTTTTTTTTTTGGTAGAGATGGGGTCTTGCTATGTTGCCCAGGCTGGCCTCTAACTCCTGGTCTCAAGCAATACTTCTGCCTTTGCCTTCCAAAGCACTGGGATTACAGGCATGAGCCACCATGTCACATGAACCAAAATGTCATTTTGATGGCACTCTAACAAATACCCTTTATTTCTTTCCTTCACAGTACTTATCAAATAGGTAATCCTCTCTTACTTCTGTTTCTCCATAGAATGCAAACTGCATGAGGGTAGGGAACAGATTTGTATTTTTCAGTAATGTACCCCCACTGCACGGCACAACACGTTCTCAATATATGTAGGATAAACATCACTCACTTACCACTGAGCTGTTAAAGTAGTTCCTTTCTGTATCATTCTCTTGATAATTAATTTTGCACTTTAACACAAATGCTGCATGTTCAAATACTGAATTGCTGAATATTTTATGGTTTTATATTATCTTCTAAATTAAAATCCTGTGCTTCTACAGTCATTTCATGACTCTTATTTCCTTTCAATTCTTCTCATTCCATGTGAGAAGTGATTCTAAATTAACAGGAGAACATAAAATCTATCTTTACAGCTTTTCCAAACTACATATACTCAGAACTAGAAAGCAATGTGAATGGTGCCTAAACATCTGCCATGTGAAATATTTCCCTGCTGTGCATTAAGGCTCCCTCCTGTAATCCCAGCAGTAATCCCTGTAATCCCTCCTGTAATCCCTGCTGTGCATTAAGGCTCCCTCCTGTAATCCCTCCTCCCTTGGAGGCCAAGGCAGGAGGATCACTTGAGCTGAGTTTTGAGACCAGCCTGCGCAACATGGTGAGATCCTGTCTCTCCAAAAAAAAAAACAACCAAATTTTAAAAATTAGCTGGGTGCAGTGGTAGTCTCAGCTACTGTCAGCTGCTTGGGTGGCTGAAGTGGAAGGAACTCATAGTCCAGACGGGTCAAGGCTGCAGTGAGCTGTGATTGTGCCACCGTACTCTAGCCTGGGTGACAAAGTAAGACCTTGCCTCGAAAAATAAAAAAAATAAAAATAAATATTTCCCAAGGTAGATGCTTAGATGGAAACTTTTCTACTGAAGTGACATCTGATAAATAAGGCCTTTCCTTATCTGGCTCCATAATAACCAATTTTTAAAAATCAAATAAGTGCATACCACAAATTCCACAGAGAACACAGACTACGTTACTTGCCATCTCTCTTTATGGGGAAAAAAACCTTAGGACCTAGTTGTTGTAGCAATTTCAGATAATGTCTTATCAGGCCTAAGTTACTGTATTATAGGTGCTAAGTGCGTAGAGATTTCAGAAAAATCTGTGAGTTAAGGAACATTCACTGGAGATGAAAAAAAAAAAAGGCTCAAAGTGAAGTCTACCTTAGGAAAAGTATACCATAATCAAAGGCGCAGGTGCAGAGAAAAATTTCAGAAGAGCAGTGAGTAAAAATCTAGTTCAACTGGAGTTATTAATGACGTTTGGGCACAGAAAAATAACTGGATAGATAAAATGTTCCCATACCATGAGGTTCTTCAACATAAACGGAGATTAAATATCACTCAGCAGCTAATGGGGAACTTAAACCCACCCGACTGTTTGATGTGATAAGAGAGAAGCTTTAGAGAAGTTAAACATCAAGTGTACCAGAAAGATGCATTGGGAATTGACTTGAAAATTCTTAGTCTGTACAGAGGAAGGCAAGAGGCAGAATCTCCTTACTATATTTAAGGTAGTAGGGTTTTTTGGAGGGTGTCTTTTGTTTTTTAGAGACAAGGTCTCACTCTGTTGCCTAGCACACTCATGGCTCACTGCAAATTCCACCTCCTGGGTTCAAGCAATCTTCCCACCTCAGCCTCCCAAGCAGCTGGCACACACCACCATATTTGGCTAAGTTAATAGTAGCAGCAGACATGGGGTCTTGCTTTGTTGCCCAGGTTGGTCTCAAACTCCTGGCCTTAAGCGATTGTAGCGCCTTGCCCTCCCTTCAGCCTCAAAAGCGTGAGGGTTACAGGCATGAGGTACTCTGCCTGGCCTAGACTTTCATTCTATATCGATGGGTTCATCTTCTACTCTCTGTGGGTTTAAAACAGCAATATATCAAATGAAAGGAAGAGAAGAAAAATAATAAACGTTTGACGTTTAAATAAACTCAAAGGTAATCAGTGTTATCTAAAACAAGAAAAAATCATGAATTCATATAGAGTCTAGACCAAGAAAGCAGGGTTCTAAATGGCCACGCATCCGTGCCACTGAGTAAAAGGGGATACATTTCATCATAAACTCCATGTAGAAAAGACACATCCTGACGTGGAGCCCAGGACACAGAACGCATCCACCAAAAACCATGAAGAACTCATGTCACCGATCTTGGGTCGGCTTTAAAGATTCAGGAACTTTAAACACAGTTTTATAAGCAACATTTTAAAAGTGCCCACCTGGCATCAAAAACCTGAGATTAAATTTCACTGTATCTCATATGCCTAATTACTTCTCACCTGAAAAGTTTTGACTTAGGATTTCTTGATCTACTATCCATGGATCTTGCTGTTCCCATTTGGAAATTGCATCAGGTTTGATGATTTGATAACCTGTCAATTGGAAATACAGGACTTGGACCTGACTGCTTGGGCTAAGAGACTTAAATAGGAAGAATGTTGTATCACAAAGGCTGTGAAATAAAGCAAGTGAATGAAAATGTCTCCATTTAGTTTAAAAGTCAAATAATCTCTGACATGTAAAACTTACCTCCAAAATCAACAAACACCTCACAGGCCAAACAGTTACTGGCCACACACTAAGTGACATAAGAAGAAAGTTCTTACCCAAGAAAACCAAATTGCTATAGTTCTCCAGCATCACATCTCTATACAAGTTCTTTTGAGTAGGATTAAGCAGCTGCCATTCCTCCAACGTGAAATCCACAGCCACATCCTCAAAAGATATCTGGAAAAGCACAATCCCTTGTTAAGCCTGAAGTGGTTCTAACTGGGTCTTGTTCAATAGTTTCTTCTGTGTTTGTGGTAGGCAGCCTCCAAGACGGCCCCAGCGACCTCTGGCTCTGGTATTCATGCTTTTGTGTGATCCTCCCCTCCTGACTGTGGGTTGGACTCACTGACTCACTTCTTTTGAACGGAACAGGGCAACACGATGAGATGCCACTTCCAAAATTAGGTTATAAAGGAACGCACCTTCTGTCCCGGGCACTCTTAGTCTCTAGAGGAGTCTGGCTGCTGTGCTGTAAGGCAGCCATGCGGAGGAGCTCGTGTGCATGGGACAGAGTGGGCCTGGAGGGCTCCTCACTGCACCTTGAGGTGACTGCAGCCCTTCTCACCACCTTCATCACTGCCTCATGCGAGACCCTACACCAGAACCAACCGGGTAAGCAACTGGCAGATCCCTAAGCCCAGACACTGTGAGATAAGTGTTTGTCGTTTGCAGCCCCTGAGGTTTGGGGTAATTGGTTACACAATAATGAATAACCAATATAATATAAAAATCTTGCATTAGGCTTTGAGGAAGAAATGTTTTTAAAATATTTATCATTGTGAATTCATTCATCCATCTACCTATGCACTGAACAAGAAATGAGAATAGGTTGTCTTTAAACAATATGGTGGTTTTCAAAGAAGGTGCTACTGGTATTTGAGAACAATTCTTAACTAAGCAACATTGTCTCCTGCAGTTAAGCCCTGGAGCATGCCTGGCCTCTGCCTGCTAATGCCAGCAGTATCTCTCAGTCACTGGCTGGGCGTTGTGGCTAACGCCTGTAATCTCAGCACTTTGGGAGGCTGACGTGGGATCACCTGAGGTCAAAAATTCAAGACCAGCCTGGCAAACCCCATCTCTACTACACACACACACACACACACACACACACACACACACACACTTAGCTGGGTGTGGTGGTTGGGGCCTGTAATCCCAGCTACTAGGGAGGTTGAGGCAGGACAATCAGTTGAACCTGGGAGGTGGAAGTTGCAGTAAGCTAAGATCGTGCCCCTGCACTCCAGCCTGGGCAACAGAGCCAGACTCTGTCTCAAATAAATAAACAAACAACAACAAAATCTCTTTCTTCCCTCTGGGAGTGATTCTGCTCCCAAGTAAGAACAACTGGCCAACTATTTCAGGTATCTTCCAATATACACATACGGAGCAATTAAGGTTCCAGGAACGGTCTGGGCACGGTGGCTCACACCTGTCATCCCAGCACCTTGGGAGGCTGAGGTGGGCAGATCACCTGAGGTCAGGAGTGGGAGACCAGCCTAGCAAACATCGAAATACAAAAATTAGCTGAGTGTGATGGTACATGCTGAGACAGGAGAATTGCTTGAATCCAGGAGGCAGGGGTTGCAGTGAGCCAAGAGTGCGCCAGTGCACTCCAGCCCAGCCTGGTGACAGAGTGAGTTTGTCTTTTTTTTTTTTTTTTTTTAAAAAAAAGGAACTAGCATTTACAGAATATAGAGACAAAACAGGAATAAAAACATTGGATTCGACAACACTGGGTCAGGTGCTATAAAGACAGTAAGGTGCTGGGCACGGTGGCCCACGCCTGTAATCCCAGCACTTTGGGAGGCCGAGGCGGGTGGATCACGAGGTCAAGAGATCGAGACCATCCTGGTCAACATGGTGAAACCCCGTCTCTACTAAAAATACAAAACATTAGCTGGGCATGGTGGCGTGTGCCTGTAATCCCAGCTACTCAGGAGGCTGAGGCAGGAGAATTGCCCTGAACCCAGGAGGCGGAGGTTGCGGTGAGCCGAGATCGCGCCATTGCACTCCAGCCTGGGTAGCAAGAGCGAAACTCCGTCTCAAAAAAAAAAAAGACAGTAAGGCTCATGAAGGGTTTAGAGTCCTGGTTACAGAGGGGGATGAGGAAAAGGACTCTCAAGGCAGCAGCAGGAGCAAAGGCACGGAAACAGAGTGTATTATCTCAGGGAGGAGCAGTCCAGGAATGTCAGAGGGAGCGAGCACGGTGGGAACGACCCTGGTCTCTAAAGCCAAAGTGGAAACCCAGACAGGCACGCGAGGCCAGCCTTTATTTACTCAAGTAACTTTGAGCATTCCAGTCCCAACAGCTACAGAGAACACAGGAAAAAGGAGGAAAGGAAAGCCTGGAGTAAGACCAAGCATAGGGGACTCATAGGTTGTCTCCCTCACAACGTTAGAACCCGTAAGGAGTACTCCGTGTTTGGGTCAATGAAAAGTAGAAATCCAACAAAATTAATTTCTTGCCTCAAATGTTGGTGTTACACAAAGACGTCAAAACTGTCCTCTGAGAATTATAACAAGCTAGACTGATGTGAGTGTGTGAGCTGAACTCCAGTACAGATGTGTTTTGCAAAAACCGTAAGCACAGAGCAGTGTTTTGAGGTAGAAGTGCGTTCAGGCATCTGGCAGAATCAAATGCATATTCTAATTAGAGAAAGAGATACAAATAATCCTCACAAACAATGATTCAAGAAAAACGAGTACAGAGTAAAAGAGAAACCAGAATGCACACTTAATAAAAAATAAAAATCAGCCAGGCACGGCGGCTCACGCCTGTAATCCCAGCACTTTAGGAGTCCGAGGTGGGTGGATCACCCGGGGTAAGGAGTTTGAGACCATCCCGGCCAACATGGCGAAACCCCGTCTTTATTAAAAGTACAAAAATTAGCTGGGCTTGGTGGCCAGCACCTGTAATGCCAGCTACTCGGGAGGCTGAGGCAGGAGAATCATTTGAACCTGGGAGGCGGAGGCTGCAGTAAGCCGAGATCGCATCATTGTACTCCAGCCTGGGCCACAATAGCAAAACTCCGTCTCAAAAAAAAAAAAATCATGTATTTTTTTGGAGAGTCTCGGCCTGTTGCCCAGGCTAGAATACAACGCTGCGATCTCGGCTCACTGCAACCTCCACCTCCCGAGTTCAAGCGATTCTCCTGCCTCAGCCCTTCGCATAGCTGTGATTACAGGCATGTGCCATGACGCCCAGCTAATTTTTGTACTTTTAGTAGAGATGGGGTTTCGCCACGTTGGCTGGGCTGGTCTCGAACTCCTGACCTCCAGTGATCTGCCCACCTCAGCTTCCCAAAGTGCTGGGATTACAGGTGTAAGCTACCTTGCCCAGCCTGAGAAATATAATTTTTAAAAAAGACAGGAGAGGTATAAAAGACTTGAGATATTTGAACTGTCAGCACAGAATATAAAATAAATATATTTAATATATTCGAAGAAGTAAAATACATTAATGAAAGTATGAAAAAGAATCAAAAGACTATACAAATGAATAAGCAGATTTGAAAAAGAATGAAATATAGGCCGGGCGCAGTGGCTCAAGCCTGTAATCTCAGCACTTTGGGAGGCCAAGGCGGGTGGATCACGAGGTCGAGAGATCGAGACCATCCTGGTCAACATGGTGAAACCCCGTCTCTACTAAAAATACAAAAAATTAGCTGGGCATGGTGGCACGTGCCTGTAATCCCAGCTACTCAGGAGGCTGAGGCAGGAGAATTGCCTGAACCCAGGAGGCGGAGGTTGCGGTGAGCCGAGATCGCGCCATTGCACTCCAGCCTGGGTAACAAGAGCAAAAACTCCGTCTCAAAAAAAAAAAAAAAAAAAAAAAATGAAATATAACTCTTACAGATAAAATACATAAGTAAAGAAGTCAATGGATGGGCTTAAGAGTAGATTAGAAAAAGATGAAGAGGGAATAAATGAATTGGAAGATAGAAAAAATTCATAATGAAGCAAAAGCACAGAAATGGAAAATATAAAGCAATCATATGCTGCCTACAAAACAGGCACATTTAGGTTCAAAACAGTTTAAATGTAAAACGACTCACATTACTTGATTTCAAGACTTCCTGTACAACCACAGTAAGTACGACAGGCTGGCCTTTGTGAAAGGGTAAAAACACAGATTAACGGAACGGAACAGAGAACTGGGAAATAAGCCCCCACAAATATACTCAATTGTTTTACAAAAGTACAAAAAGCAATTCCAAAGCCGGGCGCGGTGGCTCAAGCCTGTAATCCCAGCACTTTGGGAGGCTGAGGCGGGTGGATCGCGAGGTCGAGAGATCGAGACCATCCTGGTCAACATGGTGAAACCCCGTCTCTACTAAAAATACAAAAAATTAGCTGGGCATGGCGGCACGTGCCTGTAATCCCAGCTACTCAGGAGGCTGAGGCAGGAGAATTGCCTGAACCCAGGAAGCGGAGGTTGTGGTGAGCCGAGATCGCGCCATTGCACTCCAGCCTGGGTAACAAGAGTGAAACTCCGTCTCAAAAAAAAAAAAAAAAAAGCAATTCCAGTCTTCCCGACAAATAATGTCAGAATAATTTTATACTCATGAGCAAAAAAGTGATCTCAACACATACCTCTTACCTTGTATCAAAACTAACTCAAAATGGGTCACGAACATAAAAAACGATGAAACTCTCAGAAGAAAACCAAAGAAAACCTGTAGGACTCTGGGTTTGGTGATGAGTTAGATACAACACCAAAATCCTGATCAATTTAAGAAGAAAATTTGATAAATTGGACTTTCTCAAAATTAAGAACTTTTGCTCTGTGGAAGACAATGTTAAGAGAAAGAAAAGACATGGCACAGATTAAGATAAAATTATTTGCAAATTACACACCTGCCAAAGCACTCATATTCAGGATATAAGGAACTCTTAATAAGTAAATAACCCCATTTTAAAAATTAGCAAAACAGGCTGGGCACAGTGGCTCATGCCTGTAATCCCAGCACTTTGGGAAGCTGAGGTGGGCAGATCACCTGAGGTCAGCAGTTTGAGACCAGCCTGACCAACATGGTGAAATCCCGTTTCTATTAAAAATATAAACATTAGCCAGGTGTGGTGACGCACACCTATAATCCTACCTACTGGGGAGGCTGGGGCAAGATAATTCCTTCAACCCAGGAGACAGAGGTTGCAGTGGGCTGAGATGGTGCCAT